ATCAATATCGGTGCCCATAATTCAAGCAAAAGCCCCGAAAGATAGACCCTTTAATACAAATTTCAACTATCCCGTGGGACCAACGTGGGATTAAAGAAAAGCAGAAATGGGTTTTATCTATGAATTATCGATAATTTATAGATATTTTCAAAAAAAATCATTGGATTCGAATTCCTGACCTTACACAATCCACTATACAAACAGAAGTTTATCTCGAACAACCGGCTCAAATTTCGATGTTCAATTATTTATGTTTTATATATCGCAAATTTTTAATTGCGCAAGGCTAAAATTTAAATCTTATATACTTATATATATTTCGTCTATCGGATGGTACCGAAAAGTTGCTTATAGCCTGTACTTATGACCGTCAGGAACGATTTTTTTGAGAGAACCAAGAATTTGAACTTTGAGGTATTTACGTATAGATCCCATTGACCTCTATCTTCAGTAAAAATTTCAACTTTCCCGAGAAAAAAAAATGAAAACGCAATTTTCGAGACAATTAACCACCAAATAAATAATCATGAAATGTTCGACAGAGGTCAAGGGGGTACCAAAAAGGGGAAAAAGGGGCAGCAAATTTTTCTCTCATTTTTCCGTTTCCGAAAGTTGATGCTATGTCGATGATACATTTATTACAGTATTTGGTAGTTGAGTGTGAGGTAGGTGACTTTAAATTTTTTAAAATTTTTTAAAGTTTTTTAATATTTTAAGAAAATTGGAGATAACGTTATGGTCTCTGCAACGTAACAAAAAGGTCAGTGTACAGAGTTGCCAGTTTCAGTTGGTGATCTAACTTTCTGCATTTGCGCTTTATGTCCTCTCCATAAAGGCTTGTTAATTTTTTAAAGAAATTTCCACAAGCTGCTGTAATACTTTTTACAAAAATCTCTCAACATCTTCGGTCCCTCAAAAACAAAAATCCATTTGAGATGCCAGGAGTTTACAGCATTCCATGCATATGCGGCAAAGAATACATTGGAGAAACCGGACGAAATATATCAGCTAGGCTCAAAGAACACGAAAGAGCCTTGCGACTAAGACAAACAAACTCATCAGCTGTTGCTGAATGCAATCACGAGACCAGACATAAAATTTTATTCAATAAAACTAAAATTCTTGCATGTAATCAACTACCAACGAAAAATCCGAGGCAAGCTAACAATCTTAACCGCGACTCAGGTCTTTATCTGTCACCAATATGGGAATCAGACGGTGTTTATGCCCCTCATTTAGCTCCGTCTCTTTCAAACAATATATAAGCCGGTGCAGAGTAAAATGAGACCCAGTTTCAGTGAAGCTCTGAAGAAGCCAACAGGATGATTGGCGAAACGTCATCAAGTTCGATTCAGCAAAAACTGACGCAGGAGAAATCCAAAAGTTTTGTAAAAAGTATAACAGTAGCCTGTGGAAGTTTCTTTTAGAAATTTATTATTATTATTATTATATTATTTAATTAAATCTCATTTTACAAATAATACTTCATATTAACATATGTCCTAACTTTTGAGATACCGGGTGGTAAAATTTTCAAAAATAAAATATATTTTTCAATATGCGTAATCCAACTTTAGACACTTCAATGACATTTAGCACATATGTACTATGTATGAAGAGGCGTTCTTTAGGGTATGACAATTTTTTTATAATACACCAGTGGCGGGCGCATGGAATTTCACCTATATTTTCTTACAAGCTCCACTTATTTCTAGAGAAATTTAATTTCTTAATTATTTTTCAATCCGACATACGGTTGTCGCTTAAAAAAATTAAAACCTCTTCTTTGCATGGTCATAGCAATATCGTTGATATGACAGTATGCAGGGAAATTAGTTTTAATTTGTGTGAAAACCGTGCGACTTATTAAAAAAAATTAAGAAATCAAATCTGCTCATAAATGAATGCAAATGTCATTTTTTAAGGAAATTAGTGGCGTGCCACTGACTGTGAACAAGTAATATTTTAATTGATAATGATAATAATTCTCTGGATGCTGTCATATTAACCGTACATCGGATTGAGAAAAAATGAAGAAATTAAATTCCTCGTGAAATGATTGCAGATTGTAAGAATAATTTTTATTTTAAGAGAAATCAATGGCGTACCTTCAATGTCTGCCAAAATAAACATGTAAAATTCAGTACGCTCGCCACTGGTGTATTTAAAAAAAATATGATACAATAAATAAAGCCTCTTGTTATATAGTACATTTTATGAAAATTTCTAAAGTGGTATTACAGATATTATAAAAATATATAATAATAATAATAATAAATAGCATTTATTAAAATACAACAAAAATAATATACCACAATAGAGATGAACAGGAGGCGAGGTCTAGCAGCGCTACTCCACCTAACCACCAATATAATGTAATAGAATATTCCATATTTAACAAAAAAAATAACAAATATAAATAAATCCCTTAAATCCACCTAAATTCACAATTTGACAATTTTAAACAAATTAAAGGAGGATAAATAAAAAAAAGAAAGAAAGAAAAAAATTACAGAAAAATAATAAGCAAAAATAAATAAATGAAAAGCGGTCCAGCGTCTCCTTAATCTCACCAGCTCTTATAATTTCTTATAATTTTTTTTATATGTGAAAGAGCTCTGAAACGCAGCAATACTATGCTTGCGAAGAGTCGCCCTATTTTGTATATCACCACCCTTGACCAGTCTGTCAAAGAGATACCGCGGCTTTTTTATACTAACGTAGACAGATGCACAAAATACCTTTCACACAGATTTAACCACTGGGAATCCTTGAGTGAAGGCGTTATATGATCAAATTTACGCAAGTCATTGCTGTATCTCAGGCAGGCGTTCTTCAATTTTTGTAAGCTGTATTGTTCTTTTCGTCTTAGGGCCGGCCAGTATACAACGTCCGCATATCCCAATAGAGAGAGTATAAAAGAGTCACACAATTTAAGTCTAATTTCAGTGAATAAGTAGTCTTTATACATGTAAAGTCCTTTCAGTTTCCCGTAGGACTTCTGCAGTAAATAAGACAAGTGAGAATCAAAAAGCAGCTTACTATCAAGAAAGACTCCTAAGTTTTTACATTTTTCGACAAATTCAAGCGGAACATCATTCAAGGAAAGTTTCAGATCATTATAGTGCATAATTTCATCTTTTTTACTGCCAAAAAGAACGATCTGGGTCCTGGAATGATTTATTTTCAGACCATGGGCTTTGGATATCCTAGAAGTGCCTAGAGAAGTCAGAAGTGTAAATAGAGAATAATAAAGGTTCCAAAGTGCTGCCTTGCGGAACTCCCCTTGAAGTTGGCAGAAAGTCAGACACCGCTAATCTTAAATAAGGAGATTTTGATTTAAGGTGTCTACTATGTATAAAATTTATTGAAAGTCAAATAAAAACAACGTAGACTAGACCGGAAAAGAGTTGTTTAAAACTTGTTCCAACTGCATTGTTCCACCCGGAATATTAATATTATAGCCAATAAACGTTATTATTATAATAGCAGTAACCTTTTAAACACAACACATATTTTCCCGTAATGCTGCGCCTAGTCATGACAAAGGGAATAAAAGCCAGTAGAATAAATAAAGAAGAGCCGAATCAACACTAATAGCGCTTCTTTCGAATTCCAGTAATTGCATAAATAAAACCTGGAGCCGCACTTGAACTTCAATGGAAATAACACAAAGCCCAACAAATTGGATAGTATAGACTGGTAAATTATTCTGTTATTCATTGCTTCGAATTTGCAATTGTGGGCATCTATATCGGAATCAAGTGAAAGTAGCCTACAGTGAGAATACGCTTTATATAGAGAATAAAAAAGATAATAAATAATTTCTGCCTACTTCATTCGGTTCGTTTCGAGTTATTTACTGATTGGGAAAAATGTAAAAGTGGTTTTAAAAGGCAATGGATGGGATATTAGTAGCAATTTTTTAGAAATTTGAACTGGTAGTTCCTTTCGTTTTTGCCGACATTTCGCCAAATATGCTCTTGGCTTCTTGAGAATGTTGTCTGAAAGTGAATTCCGATTGTTCTGCTCCGTAAATACCTGTCGGCAAGGGGGGTGTGGAGGGGGAATTAAGTGCCGACAATGGAACACTGGGTCTATTTTATTAAATGTTTCTTGTTTTTGATAAATTAGATAAATGATTTCTCAATTCTTTCTTGGATGTAAGAAAGTAGTCTGGATCTGTTTTTGCGATGTATTCTTTTCAACAGCTGCATGGTATACTGTAATCACTTGCTATGTTGAGAGGAAGTTTATTTTTAACCGGAGATTTTAGGACAAGTAGAGAATCCAGTTTTGATCTTATAACCGAGTTTTAATTACGGAGTTACTTTGTGGTTCGTTTGAGAGAAAAACCGTTGTGTGATGTGTTCATTCCTGATTAAGAGATTCAGGTTGAGATAGTGATATTGTCCCCAGAGCTAAAGAGTTAATCACGGATTAAATTAACTAAAGTTAACCATTAGAGGCAAGATGCCGACACTAACTGTTAAAATTGCTAGGTCTAAATTGATATAGGATAATTCATTCTATTTGGAACAGAAGGCTAATGACACTGTACATGGTAGTCCAAAATTAGAGGCGTAAAATAGAACTAAGAGTTATATACCGTGAACTACAACGTCTTCGTTTTTAAGTGAAACCCTAAAAACGGTGTTTGGAAAATATTGTCAAAATAGTATATTATGCCCAAGTTTGACACGAGAGCAATGCGAGTGTTTAGGAAACTTTAAGAAACCAGTAACTGACAATCTGTTAAAGAAAAATGATTAATGCAACTAGAAAGTCAGTTTTTAGCTCTGTAAAATGACAGTTGTAAAAATTTTGGGACCACCTAGTGTGGTGTAGTGCAGTTTTGTGGCTTCCACAAAATTTTAAAATTTGGATAGTTCAAACAGTTGTTTGAGCTTAGCTGATTTTTTTTTCGTAAATCTTGTTCTGCTTTACTTCGAGAAAGAATTCATCATACCCGTAAAGAAATAGGACAAATCAATAAGACTTTATTCTCTCTACATCTAGAAATTGCTTCCATCTTGTTCCCATCCGGTTTCGATACCCTTTTAAACGTAATTTATGAAAATGTTCGTTTATCTTATTCTACCCAGAGTATCATTCAAAAATTTGAAAAAAATTACGTCCACACTAGTGTAGCCAGCAAACTTAAAACGGAATCCCGACATCGTAAACCTAAAAGCAGATAAAGCAAATGCTACGGTTGTCATGAACGCAAACACACACAAAACACAAATGAATATCAAGAAAATATTCAAGATATTCATACAGACCGATCCTATCGTCAGCTTAAATAAGATCTACGGAACGCAACCTTAAATCTGTTATTAAGACTTCTTCTCTATCAGAATCGGTGAAAAAAATCTCTACGGACTACCTTCATAAACCAAGATTACGCCTTCGACCTATTATCAGCACCATTTGTTCTCCAACATATACTCTAGCAAAATGTCTAGCTTCTAACCCTTTACAGAGAAAACTGGTTGTTTCGTACTTAATTCCTTTCATTGCTTTTAATCCACAGAACTTTCTGCTTAGTTTCAATGTAGAATCTCTCTTTACTAAACTCCCTATTCCTGAAACTCTCAACATTATTTCATATTATTTCATTATTTCATACTAACCCAGAATCTGGAACTAAACCTTCTCGTTTTAACTGATAATTGCTTGTCAAGAATATATTTTTCTTCGGTCAAGTTTTTCAATAAACGTCGGGAGAAGCTATGATTCTCTATTATCACCAGTAATCGCGAATACATTTATGGAATCCTTTGAGAAGAAACCTCTCGACACATTCATTCTAAAACCAAAATTATGGAACGTTGATGATATTTTTCTTCATGGTCAAGAATCCCTCCGAGATTTTCTTAGCCATTTAAACTCTATACACCCTAACATACGTGTAACATCTAACATTTAATTAGAAACTACTAATAGTCCTCCCATTCCTTTTTTTACAGAAAACCTACTCACAGAGACAGATATCTTATTGCATTGTCACATCACCATCTGGCTCAAAAATTATCCGTTATGAACTCTCTCGTTTACAGAGCCGTAAAATTATCTCAACCCTAGTCACTGAACCCAGATAGAGATATTACGCGTTCCATCACAAAATACACTCCACCACAACCTTCCAAAGACAATGAGTCCGAAAGCAACTCGACACTTGTCACAAAGTTTGTCTAAAAATGTCTCAACCTCTTCAATCCATTAATGGCAAAATTCCGTTTGAGATATCAGGAGTTTATGGTACCAGACCGGACGAAAAATATCAACTAGGCTCAAAGAACACGAAGGAGCCTTAAGAACAAGACAAATAAACCCATCAGCAGTTGCCGAACACAATCATAAAACAGGACATCAAATTTAATTCGATAAAACTAAAATTTTTTCATGTAATCAACTTTACCACCAAGCAACAATATATTAGCGACCTAACAATCTTAACCGCAACTCAAGTTTTTACCTTTGACTAATAAGGGAATCAGTAATCCGAGATGATAAACGCCACAGCAAATATTTACCGACAATCTATCTTAAAAATGGGATCGCTGAGTTTGCCGTGGATTTTCAAGTGCCCAACAAGGTCAATTCCTAGTCTTATTGATACCGTTTCGCTTGAATGAGGCTTCATCACTAAATAATATTATTTGGTAAATCCATTGATTTACTATCATTACTAACCAAATTCATGTCTTGATTTAAAGGTAAGATGTATAAACTGAAATTGTGTAAAGTTCTCCATACTCTCATCCGACCTACGTTAGGTCTATTACCTATTCTTCGGACACTAGTAAAAGGTTGAGCATCAATTTTATTGCAGCATTGCCTCCTCTTGGCCAAGTTTCTGCTGAACGGGACATTCTCAAACATCGATGGACATTTCCCTAAAAACAGTTGTACAAGGCACTCTACGAAGTTATTTATCAACTGCCGCTGACCGTATCGATTATACAAGTCATAGACAAAGTGAATGTCGGCGTTTTCTTCATTCTAAAAAGTAAACATTGTACCTTGAAGAGTATTTTAATGTAGCACACGAAAATAAACACGCAAAATTAATTTAATTGACGGTTACTGTCACAATAGATAAGATTCATAGCCACTTGGACATTTTTCTTTTTTAATGGTCTATAAAATTTCAAATGCCTGCAGTTCAATTAGGAGAGTGTTCCTGGTATAGGTTTATTTGATATTTTTAACTTGAAATCACCCCAACAATACACTCCCAAGCTATGGCAGTCACATCCTGTACAAACCGGTACAGAGTAGAATGCGAACCAGTTGCAGTTGAGGTCTGAAGAAGCCAACAGGATGTTGACGAAACGTCAGCAAATTCGATTCATCAACAACTGACGCAGGAGGAATCCAGAAGATTTGTAAATAGTGCAGTAACATGTGGAAGTTTCTTTGAAAAATTAAATAGAAATGCTATTTAACACTTAACAGGCTCGGTAACATGACAGCTGTCAAAATTGGGTCCAATGAGGATAATATTTATTAATTGCTTACACAAATTACTTAAATTTTGGTTAACGCGTTCATGAATATCATAAGTCACTAATGCCAAAACATTTTTAATAATAATGATAATAATAATAATAATAATAATAATAATAATAATAATAATAATAATATTTATTTAAATAAAAAAAATATGCAATTTAACAACTTATTGTAATATAAAAAAACACTTATATACGAGGTATACAAATATATATTATATAATATGATATATAGAAACGAGTTTATATAGTTACAATACATAAATATAATCAATCTGCAAATTTGTCTTATAATTTTTTTCACCAGTATAAAAGTAATTTTTTTGTCCAACAGATAAATGCATCTTTTGTAAAGTTAAATTTTCTCCAAGTTTAAAGCGTGTTTCATACTCGTAAGTTTTTGAATTAACTAGTAAGTTATTTTTTATTAAGAACAAAAGGGATGATTTATAATATAACTTTTTTATGTGAAGTATTTGAGTAAAAATTATATTAGGTGGATATTGCAGATTTAACTTAAATATAATTTTCAAAATTCTTTTTGTATTACGTAAAGGGGCTGAAGAGTTGCACCCCAACCAATTATTCCATAAGTGATTGCACCAGTGAAAAATAAGTAGAGAGAAGTAATTGCTTATCAGATATGTTCATAGGTCTGTTCATAGATATAAGAAAGTGACCAATTGCTTTTGAATGGGATCATCAAAGGGTGGTCATTAATATACAATGCAATAACTTTACCTAAAGTTTCGGAATTTAAATTCAGGTAAAATTCTGGTCCGTAATAGAAAATAATTTTATATCTACCTGTGTTTAATATTCTTTGGTTTGGTATACTACTTAGTTTAAGTTTATTAGTACTAATTCTTATTTCGTGTGTGTTCAATCGTGTGCGAATTATGCACAATATGTGTGACTCTAGTGTATCTCAGGAAATCCTCCCGCCCAAATGTAGAAAACACTATTCTATTGAGACTAAGGAAGTTATAAACAACATCTTTAGACGAAACGGCCACATTGACGAAAATTCCAACATCAACTGTATGGTAATTTGTGAATAGTCCCCTTTCAGCGAGGAAAAAAAGAAGCGATGCTGACATTTTCTCGAGTGTAGATGAAAGTGATCAAGATATAATACGGCGTAAAATTTACCAGTTATACGAGGAACAATAGTATATCCATATTGCAAATAATATAGAACAAATAATAATTAGAACAGGCAATGATAGCGATAGTTATACTGATATATTATGTGAATAATTTTAAGTAATTTGTAATTTTATATTAGATTTAAACATAAATACATGCATAAATAAATATTGTTTAGTATATTTCGTAAAAAGACCACAAATAATTAAATTCTAAGCAAAGTACGGACCTTTTCAGTCATATTTTATTCTTACAGTTTGCCTGGGTCTTTTCTTAATTCGTATAAGTTAGTCACTTCCTTATATCTATGAACAGACTTTAACATGCTCAGCTCTACGTAAAGATCAGCAACTGTCTCTAAACAATAGTTTTATATTAAGCTTATTGTTTGTAGGTAGTAGATCATCATAATTTGAAAAGGTCAAATTTTGTATTTTATCTAAGTTGATTGTTAGTAAATTATGGTCAAGACACTGTGACATAAGTTGCAAGTCCGAACTAATGCGGTTCTCGACTTCGTCCCAATTGTTACCTTCAACGAACAAAACTGTATCATCAGCAAAAGAGATGATTTTACCGGAAACATCACTAGTAAGTAGTTGATTTATGTATATAAGGTAAAATATGGGTCCTAGGACTCTACAGTTCTCGGCTTACTGAAACGGTTATTATTCTTTATCATTTGTTGTCGATTTTTCAGGTAACGTTCACTTAGTAAGTGAGCAGGTCCTCTTATACCAGTTGAATATAGTTTAGTCAAAAGCCGCGAATTTATTACAGTATCGAATGCCTTTGCTAAATCAATGAACACTGCAGCACATGGTCTTGAATTATCTAAGCATCTAGCATGGCAAAGGCATTATTAATTAGTTGATTTGTTATCAGTAAAACCAAGCTGGCAATTAGATATTATATGATTTTTAGTAAAAGGGAAACTACCCGAAATTTTAAAGCTTTTTCCAATTTTTTTGTTAAATTAGATATAAGACTTATTGGCCTGTAATTCTCAAGAATATTTTTTCTACTTTTTTATAAATGGGTTTTATTAAAGCAATTTTGAAATGAGAGGGGCACTCACCAGTTGTAAAGATTAAGTTAATAATTTGGCAGACTGACTTTATGATATTATATAATTTTGTCAAACCGCGGCGATTAATCATTTATTACGAAGTTTGAAAAGTCGAAAACCAAACGTTGATTGAAATTCCAGCAGTTTTTGGGACGACTTGAGGCGCAAAACGGATCGACTTATTCACTTGCGCGCGTATTAGTTAAAAAACGAAAAAAAATCTATAAATAAATCTAACGCGTTCGGAAAATTTATTAACCGTGATGAAAATTTCGCGAGACGAGCACTCGCCCGTTAATGAACCGGTGCCGTAAGTGCTTTATCGGCAATCTCTAATAACACTTCAACCGAGCTTTAACTCTTGGATAGCGCTGTACAAACGAAATGACGCAAATCTTTTTTTTTTCGCTTCTGGTCGACCCTTTGGCGTAAACTTTCGTTTTGGCCCTGCATAGGACGTCTAAATTCCGATCAATTATGTCAGGACCGTGAATAATTACACGGTGAGTGGAAGTTTTAATAGGCTATATAAAAACCTTAAACGCGATCCTGGCGAATAAACCCGAGTTTGACTTGTTTTAATCGGGCCTTACAAAGCAATTTGTCAAGGGGTGGTGGGTTCGGCGACATTTACTGCGCAAGAGCTTTGGTGAACCATTTTAACAAGAATGCCGCCAGATTTAATAGATTTTCAAAGGCATTGTAAGCATCGTGGCGATGCGTGACACCACAGGGAAGTAAGTTAATTAAGTGAGCGTCGAATCTTCGCACTTACATCGTTGGTTTGGCCATTAGGCGTGTATAATTCGATTTACGTTTTCTCTAGCATCAATACACAGAAAGGATGCTTAGATGATCAAATAATATCGTCAACATCTATGGTGTAAATTTAAAGAGTAGACAGATTTGTGCAAGAAAGTTCGTAGGAAGTCAACAATATGTTTTAGAATAGCCAGGCAGGATAGAAGGCATTAAACTCCACAACATCCTCTCCGAAAACCGTAAGACGCTGCCAAGGGATCTATGCATATGAAGCTAGTTTTACACTGACAATAAATTCATGAATTTCTTCATGAAATTGTTGACTAGGAAGGAGCTTCGTTAATTTATTTGAAGTCTCAAAATGTTATTAAACTGGTCAGCCAACATATAGCATTTTGAGGTTATGTTTTACTATTTTTGATTTGGATTAATGTTTTCTTATTTACTTGAAATGTTTAAGCCCCAGTTTGTTATACAAAAAATCAAAAGAATTAGAAAAACTAATGCTAATAGCACTTATCCCGGCTGCTAATATTTTTTTGCTATCTCATATCGAAAGAAGTTGGTGGATCAGGCCTTGGACCTTGGCCTAGACAAAATAAAGGACACCTTAAATTGGTTTAACAGGAGTTTAAAAAGTTCCCTAAATAGTTTTAACAGTTTTTGATTGATTCATGTGAAAGTCCAGTTAGAGAAAATGAACACAAATTTTAGAGATGCTCTACGTGAAGACGATAAAACTTGGGTAACTCTAAGATTACTAAATGTAATGTAGTGTAAATAAGGAATAACTGGAAAGTTGGGTTATGTATATCTGTATAATTTTGTACAAAAGAAACATCACGTTTGATTTTGAAATAAAACTTACTTCAAAAGAACACAATGTTTGGTTTTGCTGCTTTATTTACTATTTCCCTTAACTCGGCACCCACAGTTCTACTGTTATATTGTTCAACTAAATCAGTACTTTAAAACTTACAGCAACCCAATAATACATTCAAGATGGCTTTTCCATAACTGCAATTACTTTTGAAGTTTGTGTTTGGTTCTGCTTTTTTCTTTTTCGAGCTTGGAATTTGTTAGATATGTGCGAAACCTCAGTGGTAGGAGATCCCAAAGATAAACTTGTTTATTTGAAGTCGCAACCCTGGCATTAAAGATGACAGTTTTCAGGTAAATCTCGACTAGCACTAATGCTTTGGGAAGACCTCCATCAGCTATCAGTAGATTGGACTCACTTGCTCTCATTGGATTTAGATTAAGAACTAAAGAGCAGAAGGCGAATTTATTCTTATTTTGGTTACTATGAAGAATAACTTTTTCAGTTTAATCCTGACTGTCTTTCTTAGGAGAAAATTCTCCCCATACAACAAAATCATTTTATTTTTATTTATCATAAAAATTTGTATCATTCGTGATACTACAGGGGCATAATATTGTCCAACCAGAAATACAAAATGAACT